AAAAACACTAGAATAATACGCGAATGTTGATATGGCGTAAAATCCACCAACGCAACCCGAAGTTTAGCTCCAAATCACGACAAAGCCTCCCCGCCTTCCACTAAGACCAGTTTCGAAATTTTGAAATCATTGAAAATTTTGTAATACGAATTTCCTATTACAACCTTTAAAAAAAAAAAAAATGGGGAAAAATTCTATTAATAGAAAATGTTTAAATACGTTTCCTTATTTTCTTTTCAGAATAAAAACATAAGTAAACATTTTTGTTGTTATTAAAATTCTAAACATAGCGTTTTAAATAATACTGCCGAGAGAGTCGAAGATGTATACAGTAACAGCGGTGTCAAGAGAAAAAACAGTCCTTTTTACCCAGCGTTTTAGGCGGGTGGTAGGTTAAACTTTACGTCGAAAAAATGACTGGCTTTTTTTCCTTGGTATCTTTATTACTGTATACATCTTCGACTCCCTCGGCAATGTACTTTAAAACACTATGTTTACAATTGTAATAACAACAAAAATGTTAATGCTATTTAGTTGTTAAATTGTTTATTTACAAGATTAATTTTATATATAGAAGATTATAAAGCCGAGGTTGGCAATTCGCAATTCGGAAAACAGAATTCACCGACTTCACCAAAATTATTAGAAAAATTAATAACGATTTAAAAAAAAAAAATAAAAAAAATATGTGTTTCAAAAAAGTCTACAAAGAGTTAACTTATAATTACTGGAGTTCCAAGGCTTGAATTTTTTGGTTGATCGGGGTCCTTGATACTACATCATGAAAAAAAAAATGGAAAGTTAAAACAAGAATTACACTAGAATATAAAATAATCTGAGAAGAAAATGAATAATGTTTGGAAAAATATATTTTTTCATCCCGTTACCCGTAGGGGCAGCATGCGTACTGTGCGGCCACAGTAGAAGTGGTGTTTCTTGGGCAGGCCGGTTTTGAATTCAGAGTTTTTCCTTCTCCTCGACCGCTTGCCACTCAAGCTTTTATATATATATATATATATATATATATATATATATATATATATATATATATATATATATATATATATTTATCCCGTGAGCCGTAGGGTGGTGGGGGCAGCATGCGTACTGGAGCCACAGACTAGACCGGTTGCCACTCAAGCTTATTGCAGGGGGAGTTAGAAGAAGAAGAAGACGAAGAAGAAACATTCCTTTCCCAAGGGTATTAGAATGTAAATGTACATTTGCAATAGATCCGACTGGAATTTGAACGCGACTCTCCGATTCAGCAATCCGAGCCGCTATCCATTACTCCAAATTTTCTTGCCGAGGCAGTCGAGGGAGTGATAGCTGTGTCAAGCACCCCGCTTTTGACACACCATTTTTATGGGTACGTTGTTTTAACATTGCAACTAAATAAAATGTTCCAATTCTTATTTATATAATGCAATGCATTGTGGGCATTCAAGGTTTTGTTTTACTTTATGTTAACAACAAGACTATAACTTTATTATTAAAAAGTAATTGTTATATTCCATGCTAATAGGAATATATACTTGACAAACACAGTGGATAAAATAAGTAAAGGTTTATTGTAAAAACCAGTACAATAAGAAATAAGGTAACAGTTATGTGCACGATCGTCGCAAGTGAATCCAGTAGTGATTGCTGCTATTGGAAGGTCGATAGTTCTCATGTAAGTCGGAGTCGTACTCACCAGATCTCAGATCGACTCCTGTAGTCCGTTGCCTTATGGATACCTATAGTGTAGTCATTCATGGGGGTGACAGGTTATTCCATTACATCGGTAATAGAGCCTGTATATTCTGGTAAACCTGGTTGCATATTGTTGAGTCAATATTACTTGTCATTAACAATCATATAGAACCAACTATCTGATCAGAGACTGAGTGTTATGTCTATGTTGTCAGCTATTAAAGTTTTTAGACGAGACAAGTTAATCCCTTGTGGCTAAATAATGTTCAAGGTTTTCCAAATATATTGCATATTTGATACTAAGACTAGTATGACAGATTGCTGTAACAAAATCCACTAACTGCCTTGTTGGTAAGACTTAAATGCTAACTGCATCCATTGTAGAAAGGTAAGAGCCTCACCCCCACAAAAAATCCCCCTACCAGGTAAATGTCTACAGATTCAAATATAAACATAACCAATGATTTACCTACATAGAGAATCAACATTAAATAATCCAGTAACGTGATATGCCGTAAAATTCAAACAGACCAACTGTAAATCCACCAAATTGTAGAGTTTATCCCAATATGACACCCTCCCCACTTTCTGATTCAGGTTCAAATTTCACCAGGGTCAATTTATCAGGGAGGAGACTTCTTAATAATATCGACTTGTGGAGCCAAACACAACTTTGAAAAGTGCAAAAAGGAAAAAAAAAGCCTTATGAGTTTGGAAGTTGCTAATGGTCGTCATTGAGATTTAAATGCTGACTGCATCCATTGTAGAAAGGTAAAAGCCTCTCTGCCACAATTTCCAGTCTAGAGTTTTAATATTCACTTATGTGCTAATACCATTGGGAAAGGTATACATTCATCTCTTCCTCCTCCACCTATGGGTTAATTAATAGGACTTGTATCAGTAAATCCTTATTATCCACATCAAATTCTTACAGTCAAAATTTCCATGCTTTGATTTGGTTTTTGTTTTACGGCATATCAACCTTGATGTGTTATTTAATGCCGACAAGATTTTTATTGCTGAAATTGTTTTTCTTCAAAAATCTATTTCTGGGAATATTTTTCCTTGAACAAATCTATAGCTGGTCATATTTTTTTCAATGAATGTTTGTCTTGCTAGTATTTTTTCAAAGTAGTGCTGATAATAATTTTTCCTTCAAAAATTATTGCTGATAATATTTTTTTTATTACAAAGTATTTCTGGTATTAAAACCTATTTTTACACAAGTTTGGGTGTTAACTATTTGCCCATAGCTGGGACCCTAACAGGTGCTACCACCCCAGGTCAGGGTGGGAACACCAGCAATTAAGAGGTGGTTCCACGCTCCTGAAAACCTCCTGATCAGAGGCCTTGCTGTTGGACGTAGTTTATCGTCTTACCCTGCACGCGGATGTAGTTTATCGTCATACCCAGGACGGTCCTTGCTTTGAATAACTTGCAATGGGTTAATAAGCCATATAAAAACAATGAATCTATATAACAAGAAACACTAATTGCCTTGTTGTTCAAACTTAGAGGATGCTGACTTAATCCTTTCTAGGGACATAAGAGCTTATCCCCTCCTTAAAAGTGATTATCTACCGAGTAAATTGTTACAGCGACAAGTATAAACGCTACCTACGGTACCTTACGTATAGATTCAACATTAAATAACCCATGTTCATATGTTGCAAAATTGAACCGAACTAAACCAAACGAAACCCAAGTTTACTTTCTGCTAGAGTAAGAACAGCTTATTAGATGTGGATACAGTTTACTTTTTTCTTTTCCCCCATTTTTTTCATAACACAAGATGGAAAAAAAATCTGTAAATAAAATAAGTTAAATTGTTAAGGACAGTTTTTGTTTTTGTTTTGTTTTTCTTTCGTTGGCGCCATTGGGTAGTATTTTCTAATGCAGGTTTTCCCGACTTGAAATACTGGCCGAACACAACTCCATTTCCCACCATTTTTGCCTTATGCCGTACATAGCTAAGCCTAATAAGCTTAATTATGTGCTTTGCTATATCAGATCAGCTTGCTCATTTTGGTTGTTATAATGTTTCGGCTGCCTTTCTTCAGGTTTCTCTTCGGACACATTAACCTCCTAATTATCTTCCGTATTATCCATCTACGGTTGTAGATTGTTCTTTAAGTTCTCTCACCCAACTATGGGTTAAATAGTAACATTAGAGAAGTGTCCGGGGAAATCATTGTTATTCTAAAAAATAATCAGCCGCAAAAAGAAAATAAAATTATTCTAACAATTCAAAATTAAGTTTCTGATTTAAATAACACAGAAAGGGTTGAAAAACCGTAAAAAACAAACCAATCAATCAATGTAGGTTGTAGCTTTCTAAGATGTTTGGTATCCGTTCCTACTCACCAATACGAAGACAGATATCTGAAGAAGGCCCGACGGTGCAATGGTCGAAACGTTGTGCATATAACAACCAATATGAATATTTCTTTTCATTTTTATGTGCCGTACGTTAGAGTAATGGTTAGCGTTTCAGATTAGGGAATCGGAGAGACAAGTTCGAATCCCATTCAAATCCATTACATTCACTTACATCCCCCAGCTATGGGTCAATAGCAGGACAGACCGGGTTCTATAGACTTGGATGGCAACTGGTCTAGCGCAGAAAGAAATGGCAACCTACTACGGGAAAATAAATCTGACTCATCAATCATGTATCACGCATGGCACATAATTTACTGACTGTCCTTTCAGGATGTAGGCGATCATGGCTCTCCACTTTCCTCTATCCCTTGTAGCTTCCAATAAGTTTCGTACCTCAGCCAACTCCCCCAGACCACGTTCTACCATCCACTTGCTTAAGCCCACCAGGTATGTCATCTGTTGCTTTCCTTTGTCTCTTTTTTTCCTCTATTCGACCTGCGAGTATCAGATTCTCCAGGCCTTCCTTTCTCATTACGTGTCCCTAAAATTTCAGCTGCCTCTTCCTGATGTTAAGTATAAGCTTGTTGCTTGTTTTCATTCTCTTCAAGACCTCAACGTTGCTCATACACACGGTCCATGTTATCCTTAGCATCCTTCTGTAGAACCATAACTCCGCTGCCTCGAGTTTCTTTTTCATTTTAGAGGAGACCGTCTAATATTCGCTGCCGTACATGCTGGTCCGAATAGCAAATAATATGATAATGATGATTCGTTATCTCAAAAACAGCGATAAAAAGAGAAGGCTTAAATCTACTGATTTTTGTTCTTCCCACTTAGCAGTCTATTAGAAAATTTATTCAGGTCAAATGATTTCTCAGTCCCCAACGAACGATTTCCTCTTTTCAAATTCAGTTTCAAATTTTATGGACATCGATTTGTATCCCGCTTCGGAAATCAAAATCGTTTTTCCTCGCGGCAATCTCCTTTCTCCAATCTCTGAATATCTTTATTCGCTTCCCATATTAAACTGTCCTTTCTCCACTCTTCCAACAAGGACAGAAACCGTGGCTAGTTTTTGTCCCATCTTAATAGTTAATGGTTTTACGCCTACGCTTTATGTCCCTACATCTGCAGCATAAATAAATTGAAATAAAGTGAAATCAATTCGGATACGTTCACATTTGCTCCGCAGACTTTCATTTGTCGATTTTGTATTCGACAAAACGCGCTCATGGCTTTTATGCTGTAAACAAGAGTTTTGAAGAGAGTCGAGAACTCATAAGTGAGTCGTAAATTTTAAAATGCGACACAAGCGATACAATAAAAGTCTGCTTTCTCTGTTCAAAGGGAACGATCAGACGAACCAATGAAAAGAGGGAAGGCCGGAGAGGAAAAAGGAAAAAAAAAAAAACGATAACAGAAAAAAAAAAAAAAAAAATGAACGAACGAATTTTTATATGCAAACATATTCCTTGATTTGCATTTACGCACAAGCGGGAGACGGCTTTGCACACAAAGTAAATGCTATCTTGCAAAATTGGACCACTTAGGCATGCGCACATGCAACCCACTGACGCTTCTACCGAAGTGGACAAATAGTCGATGTTCGCAAGAGGTAAAGCGAAAGAACGAGGCAATAAAGGTTTTATCGAATGTAAATATGCATATATATTTCAGTTCTCGTGAGGATATGTAAATAAATATGTATTTCTGATACTTTTCATTTGTTTATGACACCCTTGTCAAAATCTATCTATCCATCCATGTCCATATCTGTAGGCAATATCTATCTATCTATCTATCTATCTATCTATCTATCTATCTATCTATCTATCTATCTCAGTCTGTTCACATCTGTCTGAGTCTGCTCAAATCTATCTATCTATCTATCTATCTATCTATCTATCTATCTATCTATCTATCTATCTATCTATCTATCTCAGTCTGTTCACATCTGTCTGAGTCTGCTCAAATCTATCTATCTATCTATCTATCTATCTATCTATCTATCTATCTATCTATCTATCATCATGTCTGTTCATTCATCTATCTATCTATCTATCTATCTATCTATCTATCTATCTATCTCAGCCTGTTCACATCTGTCTGAGTCTGCTCAAATCTATCTATCTATCTATCTATCTATCTATCTATCTATCTATCTATCTATCATCTATCCTGTTCACATCTGTCTGATTCATCTCAAATCTATCTATCTATCTATCTATCTATCTATCTATCTATCTATCTATCTATCTCAGTCTGTTCATATCTATCTATCTATGTCCATATCTGTTGGCAATATCGCAGTCAGTTCATATCTATGTAAATATATAACCATGTAAATACGAACAAATATATAGATGTTTCTGATTGCATAAATACATTCATAAGCCCAGGTATTTCATATGCACCTTTACGTGCTTCCCTACTCTCCTCCCATATATATATTATATATATATATATATATATATATATATATATATATATATATATATATGTAAGCAAATATATGGATATAGATCCGACATAATGAAGAAAAATATACGGAAAAAATGCATAATTGCATATTAAGAATTTTGTTTGTTTTTTCTGTATATTTTTCTTGATATATATATATATACAAAAATCGCAATACCTAAGGTTTAAAACGATTTCAAAATGAAAAAGTTTTTTGAAGATTTTAATTTAGTTTTAAATTCAAACAAATTACTTTGTTATAGTTCAAAATTAGTTTAAATTTACTAATTTTAGCGATATTCTACGTATTTGACAGTGCAATGTAATTCTTTTTTATTAAAAACCTTACAAAAATGAAATCTACTTTTCTGAAACCTTATTCGAGAAATATTGGCTGTTTTAAAGTTTAATTAATCTAATTTCAAATAAATATTACTTTAGTTCAAAATATCGCAGAAATTCATTTTCAACACGAAGGTATATGTTTATTTAAGGTCTTGACAGCTTGACAGCTTGATTGAAAGCCGAAAGTTTATCTATTTTTTTTTCTACTGATGAAATATCTGTAAAAATGACTTGCGAAATATAACGTGTGCTTCTTTTTCATATAATTTTTAACTATCCATTAATCTTAAAAAATTAGGAAAATAGTTTTCGTAATATAATGTTTTATTGAATTTGAGGTACTTTGTGCACAAATCTGCTATAAGTACCGCTCTTATTTTCTTATAATTTCGTGTATGGGCATCCGTATTTACAAAAATCGGCATGCCTACAAACACACACATGTAAAATCGCAAGATTCTTTTGGTAATATTGTGGGTCGATGAACGGTAGCAATCTTTTGAATTTACGATTAGAAAATATAATTTTATTTAATAACAATATCACCTAACTAGTACAAATTAATATAGAATTTGAAAAAATTTAAAACCCTATAAATTATAATTAAAATTTAAAAAATGAAAACAATTCTTTAAAAAATTCATAACACATCAAAAAAAAAAAATTTAAAAAAAAAAACAGTATCCATAAAGTTTCTTATTCATAAAATCAATTAAAAGATTTTCTAAGAAAATACTATTTTAGTTTTATTGAATTATTTTTTTATTATTTTACGATTCAGAGAAGATTTTCGGTAATTAGGTGTCCTGTTTTACAAAATGAAATTGACGATTTAAATTTGCCAAGGATTTCTGTTTATTAATAATATAAAATTTAAGCAGTACAAAAGTAAATTTCTCTAAATTTTATAAATTAGAAAATTGGGCGTATGTAGTATAATTTCATCCATTATTTTAAGTAAGCCTTGAAAGTTTTGATTAAAATCCGACGATTCTTGCAAGAATTTCCAAATCAATGTGTTTTTTTTTACGCAAAAGCATGCTAAAATTTTCTAAACTAATCTTTGGTTCGCCGCTGAGGCAAGCAAAACATTTTTTTTTTAAATTTCGAACGTTCTAAATAGGATAAAATAAAGATATAATTTAATAATGAAAAAAAAAATCTTTGGGTTTTCCTTTTAATAATAACAAAGATTTTGACGACAAAACTTTGTTATCATTAAGGTCATGACATTTTTCATAATGTAAGATAATTTTATAGCGAATCTTTGGAAGTACCCCCCTCTCTCTCTCTCTCTCTCTCTCTCTATATATATATATATATATATATATATATATATATATATATATATAAACGCTAAGTTTAAGGCGACCCCACACAGAAAGTATAGACATTAATAGGACGGTTTAGCGATAAATAAAGCTTCCGAAATATGACTTTATGTTTTATGGAAAGGATTCTCTCTCTCTCTCTCTCTCTCTCTCTCTCTCTCTCTATATATATATATATATATATATATATAGAGAGAGAGAGAGAGAGAGAGATAGACATAAAGTAAAATAGGAAAAAGAAGTTGAAATTCTTCTAGAGTCTTTAAGAATATTTATTTAGAGTAACTTTACCGATTTCACAGTGCTATAATTTACAAAAGTTAATTTGAGATAGAGAAACATAAAGACACCAGTTGAATTTTCCTACATGTTTTTATCCCTGTGGGACATAAAAGAACTTACTTTCTCATATATATATATATATATATATATATATATATATATATATATATATATATATATATATATATATATATATTCTATCAGGCTTTGCTCACTCGCTATCGCTTCCTTTTGGTAAAATATATTCACTAATTGAAATCTTTGAAACAAAAATTTTAAATGAACATTTAATTCATAAATTGGTTGTAAACATGAATAATCGTATTTATTCAAGGAGCTAAATATCAGGATTTTAGCCATTTTTAGACAAATGAAACATGGCGAAACTGAATAACATTTTACAGGTGTTGACAGAAATAAAATACATGTATTTGCATGAATGAAAAACATAATGGTGAAGAAAATTGAAACTTTTTTCCTAAATAATACTTATTGTAATGCAGCAGGATTAACTTTTATTTTTAATTTGGAGAAAATATGAATAAATTCCTTACATTTTCAATTCTTGAAAAGGCAGCATAAAATTGACCCTGAGAAAAGCAGGGGTTGCATGAGGTAACTTTCATTGATTAACCTTGGGATTTATTAGTAGTCATTACAGAACTTACTTTGACTGGGAAATGTAATCATTTAAAATAAAAAGGAATATCTATTAGAACCAATGAAATTCTTGGAATCAGTACAGTCTCTCCTTTCCCTTGAGCACTTAAGAGCTTCCAATAAGTGAGCTAACATTTTCTTCACAATAAGACGTGTACCATTACATAACTTTGGAGGATCTAGATTTCTTAGCACCATTAATGGTACTTGTTTTATTACCAGCTTGTGTGATGGCATTCCTGGAAGATCCAGAGTTACCAAAAACTATTTTCCACATAGTCACCTTCATTGGCTATACATTATCCAGACCCTTTACATTTCATGGTTGTTAGTTGTGCATGGCTGCCTAGAAAGTGTCTTGTCACTGCTGATTCCACACCATTCATTTATTGGTATCTATAACAAATATAAGTATAAGAGATATGGAAATTGACCAAGAATAACCTACGCTAGAGGTAGTTTCGCACAATACCGAAAATTGCTACAGAACCAAATATTAACTTAAAACGCCATCTTATATCTTTAAATAGCCTGATCAGATCGAGACTTTTGTATGGATGTGTAAATGGAGGAGAGGGCAGGTTTTAGGGAAGATATCAAATAGATAAAATTTAATAAAAATGCAGGTAGTTAGATTATGCTCTGATTTTATCTGTCACTCTTACCTGCAATATGTCCTGTGATATATATGCTCCAGTGTAAACTTGACTCGCAATAGATATTCAAAACAAAGAGTCTTTAAAAATGCAGCCATTCATCGTGATTGTTGAGAATTTAAGTTCAGCATGTACGCTATTGTTGCAATTTGGCATCCAAGTCTGAAAAGTCTGGAAGAATTGTTGGTTACTTATACGGCTCAAAATAAGTAGCTGCCTCCATTTGTCAAACGCTATGTTTATATGACTCGGATCAGACCGGAAATGAAGTATTGTTTCTATATCCGGGCTGAAGCTGCTTAATCCTAACTTTCCAGGTTTGACGGAGTTCGAAACCGTCTACGCGATCTTGGTGGTGGTGAATTATTTTCCGCTTCCAACCCCTTTTCTACTGGCGAAACATCGTTAACCTGACGCTACACTATCGCTACTTCCACAGTAAATGATATTCTTTACCCGTTTAGAACTTCACAACTAAGACACGCCATGCCACGTACATAGGTCTGAAATCCTCATTCTCTTAGTATTCCGTTAGTAAGGAAGAAGTTCCACTTAGGCAGCTTCTTTTCCATGAACTGTTAGTTTATAAAAGAGACTCCTGAGAGGATGCTTCCCCGATCACCATGATCATACCCTCTTCAGATTCGCACTACTTCCCCGTCTTTTGAACAGGAGTAGAGGTTCATCCCTTGTTTCTCACTGAGGATTGGGTTTCCGGTTTCTTCTCCTAAGGTCTTCTCATTCTGTTTCAGACCCAGTAACCTCTTGTGTCATAGTGGCATTATCGCCCTGCTTGAGGGGAAATGATTAAAAATTCTCGAGTCAACCTTTATCTATCCTATATATTCTCATAATATGCGCGTCTTCCATTATACACTTATATCTCATTCAGTAACCCTCTGCCTTGAGTGGATCTTGTGCCTTGCATTAGGTGAACAGTATCATGTAAAAAAGACTGGATTTTTTTGCGACCTTGTTTATATTGGTCTTACATGCGCGTGTTCTTTATTTCGATACGTCCCTCGGAGTCGTGGTGTAAGTTCGTAACTTTTTCCCGTTGACTTGAGCAAATCTTCTTCCCGGGGTCCTTGTGTGGGGTCTCTTCTTCTGTAAGGGTAAGGGCTAATCCAATGTCACGTGATATCGCGATGCTGTTTTCAACTCGGCCATGTTTACTGCCTCAATTAATAGCGTTTCCTCGTTTTTAGTGAATAATGTCACGAGAGAAGCGCAGGCCAAAGTAATCAGGATCTAGGAGACGGACAAGAGGAGCAAAAATTAACTGCGAAAATCGATTACTGCTAGGCGTCTGGGGGGGGTCGTTGCGTCTCGGATTTCTTCAACTGGAATGAAGAACACAAGACACTTGGCGTCTGGTTCGAGAAGGGTCTTCATTTAAAGAAGATTTAATCAGCAATAAGGGCGAAGATCTATGATTTTGAAGGAAATATTCTTCAAGAAAGAGAGCGAAACCTTATTAAGAAAATATCTTTGCCAGCGATTCGCCAGTGTCAGCGAGACGGTACTGATGTCAAAGAAACAATTTAAAACGCTGGGAAGTGTTTCAACAAACCTTGCTTCATAATTTCGTGACATCATAGCTACTTGTACATGGTGTAAAATATGATCTTTCTTCTGTGTGGTGCCCCTTCATCACGCGTGCGATCATGGCTCTCCATAATTTCCTGTCCTTTGTAACGCTTAGTACATTTTATCTATTTGATATCTCACCTAAAACCTGTCCTGTCCTCCATTTACACATCCATACAAAAGTCTCGATCTGATCAGGCAATTTAAAGATATAAGATGGCGTTTTAAGTTAATATTTGGTTCTGTAGCAATTGGCGGTATTGTGCGAAACTACCTCTAGCGTAGGTTATTCTTGGTCAATTTCCATATCTCTTATACTTATATTTGTTATAGATACCAATAAATGAATGGTGTGGAATCAGCAGTGATAACAGCTGTGTGTGACAAGCCTCTTTCTAGGCCGCCATGCACAACTGTCAACCATGGATAATGTGTAGCCAATGAAGATGACTATGTGGACTATAGTGTTTGGTAACTGCAAACAGGATGCCAAATTGCAACAATAGCGTACTTGCTGAACTTAAATTCTCACCAATTACGATGAATGGTTGCATTTTTAAAAACTCTTTGTTTTGCGATTACAGTTTAAACTAGATTATATATATATATACATACGATCCAAGGCTAAAAATGCAGGTAGATAGATTATGCGTTAATTTCATCTGTCACTCTTACCTTCAATATGTCCTGTGAGTGTCAAATTTTCCAAGCCCTCTTTTCTCATTATCTGCCCAAAACTTACAGTTGCCTCTAGTATAAGTGTCCTTTTTCTTAACAGAAAAATAAGACCTTCTACATGGCGGATAAACCTCCTTGTAGGTCAACGATCATCAAGCACAATGAGTTAGATTGGGCTCCAGAAATAGGTTCCCCCAGATTAAATTGCCCACAACACAGTACGCATGAATCAACATCTCTGACTTTCAACCTAGATATTGAATTAAGAATCTGTCAGTGCCTAATTCAGCAGTTACCTTAGAACCACATCTCATCATGTTACTTATAATGACGAGGATATTGCCAAATTATTTCGTAAGTCTAAATCATACGGCCAAATCACGTTGAGACATCGTTTCTCGTACGATAAGTTAAGCAATGTCGAGCCTTTTCGGTACCTTGATGGGTGACCGCTTGTGAATACCAGAAGCTTCAAGCTGGGGTGTGCGAGTGGTGTAATTGATTAATGGTTCGGAATTGTTAATCAGAGAGGCGAGTTCCAGTTCTAATTGGGTTCGTTATATTCACGTACGTGGAAATACACATGGGAAAAGGTTTGAATTTATCTCTTTTCCCCTAGCTATGGGTTAATTAGTAAAAGTTGTATCTCTGAATCATTAACATCTCCCCCAATAACCCCACAAATTCTTAGAATCTACAAATATTTTCTGGCTTTAAATAAGCCGTAGAAACCAAATCAACAATATTAAGCTTAAAGGGAAACAGCAATTAATCGAACTAACACGATATGTTAGATGGAAGAACAGGTTGTTTCTAAGAGTTGCAAAGTATAAGAATTTGTGGGGTACCATTATCGTCCAGTTCCTCAAGAGACTTAGCATAATTGCAGATTCTTAACTATCTGAACCCTGCGCTCCCTGAACAATTTTAATCTTTTTGCCTCAGCTTCTGTGTCAAAATGCGCAAATAATTCGTAGGTAAAGTTTCACGGTAGACATAAAAATAGTTACAAGTGTTTACCCACCGTTCAACCGGTGGCTCGCCATTAAGTCATTTTTCTCTACCTCTGTTCAACCAATGGATGGACATTACGTCATTTTTCTCTATCACCGGTAAAGCGGTGATCAGAGCTCAAAGGGTTAAACTATGATCTGAAATTCGAAAGAAAGCAGTGGTAGGACCTACCCTGTATTCATCATAAAAATTTAAGATGTAGTAAACACTTCAATTACCGCTCTGTATAGATAAGTTATAACAAATTTAGTGTAGGAGATACGTAAATTGAATATAGAAGTGCTAAAAGTCGTTTCGCCCAATACCGCAAGTTTCTACTAAACTAAAACATTAATCTGGAAACACGTATCATCTAAGATAAATAGTTAAAATGGTTTTGAGTAAGTGAAGTCTGTGAGACTTGACGAAGATCTTACTTCTTAAAACCTTAATGACTGGCCTTATAGAATAACAAACAAGTAACAGAAACCACATCACTTGAGGACTTTTAATATTGTTTATTTTGTTCTTACAAGATAAAGAAATAGAAACATCTTTTCTGTTTGTTTCTTCCATAAACTGACACACTTTTTCGAGTTGAACCTTGTGATTATTGAATTCTTCCCTAAGTTTCCAAAAGCTGAGTTATATCAAATCCCTCATCGTTCGATTGACCAAATTCTAACTGCTGTCGCAAATGGATTTCGAGATTTAAAAAAAAATGGATTCACTCAAACCAAGGCAGTAAAGCCACTAAGACACAAAAGGTTACTGTGTATGGAAGAATTAAAAAACAGAAACAATACTAAGGAGCAACAACAATAGAAGAGTAATCAGGAAGACTGCATATAATGATTGATATTGCATTTAATTGTTTTAAGATCAAAGTTAACTGGAAAGCATGGAGCCAGAAGAGTGTTCCACAAGAGAGAAGTGCGAGAGAAGAAACTGTTAGCATATAAGTTACGGTTATATCTAGACAATTTAACTGTAAATTGCCAGTCTCATCGCCGGCATAGGTCCGTCTCGAGAGACGATGGAGTAGGGCGATGCGCTACGAGCCCGGGCGGGATATATGGAGAACTAGGGCTGCCCGGACGTCTAGTTCCCCCTCTTGGCCTTGCTAGCAGAGTCCAATACAGTTTGGTACCAGCAAACGTTGCCGGAAGGTAGCACAAAGTGCCATCCATCTGCCTTAGGGGCTCCACTCCCGGTTTGAATTCAGAGTTGTCCTTCTCCTAGACCAGTTGCCATACAAGGCTATAGAACCCAGTCTGTCCTGCTGTTTACCCATAGCTGGAGGGAGAAGAGGATTTATAGCTTTCCCAAGGGTATTAGCACGTAAGTGAATGTAATGGATACGACTGGAATTCGAACTCGGCTCTCCGATTCCTTAATCCTAGCCGCTATCCATTACGCCATTTTTCCAGTCTATTACTGAGCTTAATTACTGTGTCTAGATATCATAGCGAAGAGTGATATTTCTTCCGCATTATTTACAGAAATGTATCAAAAAGCAAAAATGGGACATAGGGAAAAAGGGTGGCCTTCTTCTATCGTAACATTAAACTTAGCTAGCCAGGATCACTGACACAAATGTACCACACCAAAACAACGCATTCTTACCACATGCACCACATCCAACATAATACCTCTAGGTCTCTATAAAAATCCTTCACTAGTCTCATAGGGACAATTCATGTCTGTGGGGGAAGAGATGGGGTACAATAGCAAAGAGCGATATTTATTTGTAATTTATTTAAAAATGTGGCACAAGGTCAAAATGGCGAATGGTGAAAAGGACGGTCTTGTTCTGTCTTAACGGTAAACTCAGCAAGCCAAAAACACTGACTCAAACATATAACAATATTCCTTATACCACAACAACGCATTCTTACTTACCTTTGTTACTACATCCACCTTAATACCACAATGTCTCTATGAAAGTCCTAACTAGTCCCCCGTGTACAATTCATTGTCTTTGTGAGGGAGGGGAATAAAATAACAAGTTAAAAATCTAAATTCTAATGAAAATATCAAAACGCACATACGAACAATTTCCATGAAATATTTATAGACATTGCACAGAGAAGCAACTTTATGGCGGCTGGAAAGTGACTGAAGCCGAGATATCAGGTCAGGGCCATTAATATTGCTGATTTTTCTCTCGATTCTATTAAGAATCTCTAAATATATAGCAGAAGAACCAGGCCATATGTGGCAGCAATATTCTAAGCATGGACGAATGGTAGACTTATAGATATGTAAGATAGATTCTTTTTTTATTTTTTGTTTCATTTTCATTTGTGTTATATTCATAGCCTCCGCCCTTTTGACCCGAGGCTGATCTGCCCGCAAGTTGTGGCACTGGACGGTACCGTTAGACAGTAGCTCAATAAACAGCGAAAGGCATCATTTTTCTAAGCATTCATTTTCGCAATAAAAAGAATCAGATTTCACATTTGACCCCCACAAGACAACTCGGTTTGCCCACCCAGTTTCCTGCATGTGCTAGTGCAGCTGTAATCAGCCCCACCCTTGCATTTACTTTTTGAAAAATGATATCTCAAAACTCTTTTATTTCACCTTTTTTTTTTTTTTTTAATATTTCATCTGTGAAAAGAAAACAAAAAAAAACAAAAAAAACAAACAGTTTTGGAAGCGAGGTTGGCGAACAGGGTGATTGTCAAAAATGGCGTATGAGAAGCAGGGCAGGGAAAATAAATATAACGATGCCGACGCCTTCGTCTACTTTGTTTCTCTTCCCGTTCGCTCTCACCCCCGCTCCCGTCCCACCAACCATGACTCGTGTTTCCCAAGCAAGTTTATCTATACTAACACCAATTTGCTGAGTGCAATTGCGAGCATAGAGCTTTAGGAGGTCAAAGGGTGTTAGCGGAATGTCCACCCGCTCTGTTTCTTCCCGGTGGGGCTGAACGGCCGAGATCGTCGTCAGATAAGAAATAATTGTGTTTCTCTTTTATGGCTATTTCACTTTCGCTTTTGGCTTCCGATTTACCATTCCTGTTTTTCATTTACCGACTTACCTTTTTCATTTATCTCTTCTTTCCCTCCCCCTCCGCTTTTGTTTCATTTATTTATTAGGCAATTCATTTTTCTTTCTTTACACATCGCTATATTCTTCTGATTGTTTAAATACTTTCTTTCTTTTTACACTAACGTTTTCATTTATTTTCCTTTCTTTCTTTTCCATCTTTGACTTTAGAATTCTTTCTTACTTTCTTTCTTTCACTCTTTGTTTGTTAGTTCCTTGCTTTCTTTCTATTCAATCTCTGGCTATTTGAATTCTTTCTTTCTTTCTTTTTTTTCGTTCATACTTTCTTACTTTCTTCCCAATCTCTGGCTATTCTTTCTTCACTGATATTTCCTTTCTTTCCCATCACCGGCTATTTGAGTTCTTTCTTTCTCTCTCTCTTTCTTTCTTTTTTTCTTTTTTTCTTTCTTTCTTTCTTTCTTTCTTTCTTTCTTTCTTTCTTTCTTTCTTTCTTTCTTTCTTTCTTTGGCTATTTGAATTCTTTCTTCACTGATATTTCCTTTCTTTCCCATCACCGGCTATTTGAGTTCTTTCTTTCTTTCTCTCTCTTTTTCTTTTTTTTTTTTTTTTTTTTTCTTTCTTTCTTTCTTTCTTTCTTTCTTTCTTTCTTTCTTTCTTTCTTTCTTTCTTTGGCTATTTGAATTCTTTCTTCACTGATATTTCCTTTCTTTCCCATCACCGGCTATTTGAATTCTTTGTTTGTTTGTTTGTTTGTTTGTTTGTTTGTTTGTTTGTTTGTTTCTTTCTTTCTTTCTTTCTTTCTTTCTTTTATCATTTTTTCTCGGTTCTTGTCGAAATTCATTTTTCTTTCTTTCTTTGTTCTTTGCTCTTATGACACTTTTTAATTTTGTATTCTTTATCTTAACACTTTCAATTTTCATTCTTCTACTGTCATTTTTAAAAAAAAAATAATTTGTTTGTCTGTTTCTGTCTGTCTTTCTTTCTTTCTTTCTTTCTTTCTTTGGCTATTTGAATTCTTTCTTCACTGATATTTCCTTTCTTTCCCATCACCGGCTATTTGAATTCTTTCTTTCTTTCTTTCTTTCTTTCTTTCTTTCTTTCTTTTCCATCTCTGGCTATTTGAATTCTTTCTTTCTTTCTTTTTAACCTTTGTCTATTTGAATTCTTTCTTCACTGATATTTCCTTTCTTTCTTTCTTTCTTTCTTTCTTTCTTTCTTTTCCATCTCTGTCTATTTGAATTCTTTCTTTCTTTCTTTCTTTATTTATTTTCAATCTTTGTCTATTTGAATTCTTCACTGATATTTCCTTTCTTTCTTTCTTTCTTTCTTTCTTTCTTTCTTTCTTTCTTTGTCTATTTGAATTCTTTCTTCACTGATTTTTCTTTTCTTTTCTTTCTTACTTTCTTTCTTTCTTTCTTTCTCATAAACGGCTATTTGAATTCTTTTATTGTATTCAATCTCTGGCTATTTTAATTCTTTGTTTCATTCTTGACAGGTACTTTTTCTTTGTTCTTTTCTTTCTTTCATCACTATCTCCGGCTATGTGCATTTTTTCATTCTTCGTCTTTGACTACTTTAGATTCTTATTCATTTATCTATTTATTTATACTCGGTTCTTGTAGAAATACCATTTGCACTTTCTTTCTTTCTTTCTTTCTTTCCTTCTTCCATTCCTTTTATAATCATCGTATTCTTTTCATTCTTTTTTTCATATATTGATTTTTTCAGTTCTGTTCCCCCCTTCACTTCCTCATTTCCTTTCATTCCCTTTCCACTTTCTCTTCTTTTTCTTTTGCCTACTCTGAAAAATCCTGTCCCTTTGTCACCTCATTCTTCATTATTTACTCTCACTTTTCACCATTTTCTTATACTTCTGACATTTTTCTTTTCGTGTGACATTCATTTCTTTCTTTTGGATTCCTTAAAGCCTTTCTTTTCCTCGGTATCCATCATGCCTATCTTTCATACAATTATTTACTGACGCCTTTCTTCTTTTCTCGTGTTTCACTCCATTCCTTCCCCTGTTTTTCTTCATAATCTTTCTCCTCCCAAGTTTGTTTCTAGCTCGAGTCAATAGTTTATCTCGAAATCAACTCTACCGCCTTCATCAACCAATTTTACTGGCTCAGGTTCCGTAATATGGACTCTGCGTCGGTTTTACAACAGAAGATAGAAATGAATAACTTGAATTTATTGCCCTTCATCCAGCGGCCATTTTTGTTATAGTGTCCAATCACCGCCAAGCTTTTCTTTCTTTGTCGCTCTTTGTCCAGATTATCCTAAATGACGGCCTTTCTTTCTCTTCACCGTTAACTGCTCATTGACATCGGTTTCAATGTTTGCATTGTCTTTATTATCTCCGATTCGACTTCACCCGATCGTTTTCCGGTAATTTCCCCTGTTTTTATGACTATTTATGATTCGCCAGTTCAATCTTTGGGAATTGTCAAATTTCCTCCTTGTATTTCAATTCTTTTTTTTTTTTTATCTTTGGAAAGGTATCTTCCATTCTGATGTGTCCCTCTTAGCTTTTTAGTATTTATTTAATCGTAAATGCTTTCTTTTTCTTTCTGACTCTATCAATTTTCCGCTTTTATTCCATTTCACTAAATTTTCGTTTCCCACCCTCCTTTCCTTTCCTATTTTTCCCTTTCCTTTTTTTTTATTCTTGCTGTGAACCCTTCTGTTTGTCATTCATTCCTCCCCACAAATATTTAATTTGTTTCTTTCTTTGACATCCATCTTTCTATTTTTGCTTCCCATCACAAGTTTTTGTCCCCTTTCTTTCTTTCTTTCTTTCTTTCTTTCTTTCTTTTCTTTCTTTCTTTCTTTCTTATGCAACCTTGTACTTTTCCTTATTTCTCTCTCATTCCTCCGTCTGCCTCATCTATCTTTCTTTCTTTCATGTCCATCCTTTCACAAATACCTTATTTCTTTTGCATCCATGTGCTATTCCTTTTTCTTACCATTCCTGTCTTTGACTGATCTTTATTTCTTTGACTTGCATTCTTCCGCTATTGCATTTTCTACCACTTATTTGTTTGTTAATTTCTTTTTACTTTTGTTTCTTTTTCTTCTTTCCTTTTCTTCTTTGCGTTTTCTTTTTCTTCTTTTCGTTTTCTTTTTTTTTTTTTTTTTTCTTTCTTTTTCTTCTTTCTTTGGCATGTATCATTCATTTTTCTTCGGTGATGTTTTCTATTCTTTTTTTTTCTTTCTGCATTTTTTGCTGTCTAAATTCTTTCTTTCCTTCTTTACTTTTTTTTTGCTTTTTATTTCCTTCTTTTCTTTTTTGCATTTTTTTGTTAAAATTCTTTTTTTTCTTTCTTTGTATTTTTTTTGCTGTTAAAATTCTGTTTTTCTTTCCTTGCGTATTTTTTGCTGTTAAAATTCTGTTTTTTTTCCTTGCGTATTTTTTGCTGTTAAAATTCTGTTTTTCTTTCCTTGTGTATTTTTTGCTGTTAAAATTCTGTCTTTCTTTTTTATGTATTTTTGCTGATAAAATTCTTTTTTCCTTAAAATTTTGTTGTTTTTTTCTTTCTCTATATATTTTTTTGTCTTAAAATTCTTTCTTTCTTTTTATGTGTTTTTTGCTGTTAAAATTCTTTTTTTTCTTGATGTGTTTTTGCTGATAAAATTATGTGTTTTTGCTGATAAAATTCTTTCTTTCTTTCTTGATGTGTTTTTGCATAAATTTTTTCTTTCTTTCTTGATGTGTTTTTTGCTGAAAAATTCTTTCTTTTCTTTCTTGATGTGTTTTTGCTGATTTCTTTCTTTCTTTCTTGATGTGTTTTTGCTGATAAAATTCTTTTTTTTTTGTATTTTTTGTGTTAAATTTCTTTTTTCTTTCTTTATGTATTTTTTTACTGTTAAAATTCTTTCTTTGTTTCTTTATATATTTTTGTTGTTAAAATTCTTTCTTTCTTTCTTGATGTGTTTTTTGCTGATAAAAATCTTTCTTTCTTTCTTGATGTGTTTTTTGCTGATAAAATTTTCTTTCTTTCTTGATGTGTTTTTTTTGATAAAATTCTTTTTTTGTATTTTGCTGTTAAATTTTTTTTTTCTTTCTTTATGTATTTTTTACTGTTAAAATTCTTTCTTTGTTTCTTTATATATTTTTGTTGTTAAAATTCTTTCTTTCTTTCTTGATGTGTTTTTGCTGATAAAAATCTTTCTTTCTTTCTTGATGTGTTTTTGCTGATAAAATCTTTTTTCTTTCTTTCTTGATGTGTTTTTGCTGATAAAATTCTTTTTTTTGTATTTTTGCTGTTAAATTTCTTTTTTTCTTTCTTTATGTATTTTTTACTGTTAAAATTCTTTTCTTTGTTTCTTTAATATTTTTGTTGTTAAAATTCTTTCTTTCTTTCTTGATGTGTTTTTGCTGATAAAATCTTTCTTTCTTTCTTGATGTGTTTTGCTGATAAAAAATGATGTGTTTTTGCTGATAAAATTCTTTTTTTTATTTTTGCTGTTAAATTTCTTTTTCTTTCTTTATGTATTTTTTTACTGTTAAAATTCTTTCTTTTGTTTCTTTATATATTTTTTGTTTTAAAATTCTTTTCTTTCTTTCTTGATGTGTTTTTGCTGATAAAATTCTTTCTTTCTTTCTTGATGTGTTTTTGCTGATAAAATTCTTTTTTTTGTATTTTTGCTGTTAAATTTCTTTTTTTCTTTCTTTATGTATTTTTTACTGTTAAAATTCTTTCTTTGTTTCTTTATATATTTTGTTTGTTAAAATTCTTTCTTTCTTTCTTGATGTGTTTTTGCTGATAAAAATTTTCTTTTTCTTTCTTGATTCTTTCTTTCTTTCTTGATGTTTTTTTGCTGATAAAATTCTTTTTTTTGTATTTTTGTTGTTAAATTTCTTTTTTTTCTTTCTTTATGTATTTTTTTACTGTTTTTTTTTCTTTGTTTCTTTATATATTTTTGTTGTTAAAATTCTTTCTTTCTTTCTTGATGTGTTTTTTTTTGATAAAATTCTTTCTTTCTTTCTTGATGTGTTTTTGCTGATAAAATTCTTTTTTTTGTATTTTTGCTGTTAAATTTCTTTTTTTCTTTCTTTATGTATTTTTTACTGTTAAAATTCTTTCTTTGTTTCTTTATATATTTTTGTTGTTAAAATTCTTTCTTTCTTTCTTGATGTGTTTTTGCTGATAAAATTCTTTCTTTCTTTCTTGATGTGTTTTTGCTGATAAAAATCTTTCTTTCCTTATACAATTTTTGTTGTTGTTTGGATTCTTTCTTTCTTTCTTTCTTTGTTCTTTCTTTCCAACTGCTTCAAGATCTTTCTTTCTCCGTATTTTGCTGTTTGAATTCTTTCTTTCTTCTTTCCGCCAATGTTATCTTTCTTTCTTTCTTTCTTTCTTTCTTTCTTTCTTTTCTTTTCTTTCTTTCCATTCTTATCGTTATCACCATCACTTTTACAAGCAAATAAAGACGTTGACCACAGTCAATTTGAAATAATGAATAAACACCAGACACGTAAACGCCCGCACTTCATTCTCGCTTGAAAGAAAATGGCTGAATTAACGCTCAGAGAAAGCAAAGAGATTAACTGAATAATCTTTTAAATTTCTTGTTGGTAAAAGCACAATTTTAATGTCATCCCTGAGAATAGCCTTCGCTTTTTTTTTCCGGAAAAGATTGATTATCCCTGCCTGCGTGCAAATCTCTTCCGATTGAT